CCCCAAAACCCCAAAACCCCAAAACCCCATCTAGCTAATTAATAGCTTAATAAGTAAAAATTCATCAAACAAATAAAAAAGTTAAGCTCATCATATTAGAGTTGTGATACTATACTTTTATAAATATATATATCTATGGAAAATCAGCAAATAATCCTTTTAAAAAACTAACACCAACAAATTGGACAACTAAAGCTCATTCATAAGCCTCCTAAGCATCTAAATAATAAACATATAAAACAACTTTTGATTCGTGATAAATCAGGTGAAAATAATTAGTCCTCTTATCGAAATACATAATTCTACGTTGAGCAAAATAACAAAGAAAGAGCACATACCTCTGATTTGAGAAATCCTTATTTCAGTAATTTAGCAAAACAGGGAATGTAAAAGATAAGTGGCACTACGAATTTTAGCAATTTTTCTTAATCCAAGTCAAGCAGCTTACTCAAGCAAAATTTATCTCAAGGCATAGTGAGCGTTTAAAATGAATAAGAAAATGAGAAATTATAAACTTAATACTCTTAATAAAAAAATATCGGATCCACTCAAAATTCCCCAGAACAAAATAGAAACTAGAGTGAAGTGAATTTGTTCTAGGAGGCTAAGTATGCTTTAAATTAAGAAATTAACAAGGGCAATTAATCTAAATAATAGTCTAGAAATGATGCAAACTGTCAGGCATTCAATTTGAATTCTGAGCATTAAAATATATTGGCAAAAATATCTTAAGATTAGGAGATTTTCAGAAAGAGACTCTAATTGAAGATCGAGATTCTAAGACAAGGGAAAGAATAAAAACGAATATTTATTAACAATAGTCTTAGTGGCAGTTGTAGCAATATTTAGAGGGATAATTCTGAGATGAGAATTCTGCCTCTGTTTAATTTTAATAAGGAAACATTTTAAGTACCTTTTCTAGAAAAGCCTACTTCTCCTGATTCATTTTCTTTTTGAGCTCCCAGGCTAGTAGATTAATGCCAGAGTTCATCATATCCAAAAATATAATAAAGAACTAGTTATAAAAGCTCAGCATTTGAGTCGCCACTACTTTAATTTACCAAGAATGAATAAAACACGAGAATCGATAGATACCAATAAAGCTATATTCAATATGATAATAATCTATCTCAAGAATAGATTCATAATTGTAATAAACCTTAAATAAAATAAATTAATTAAAATGACATTTAAGACACAGAAGAATCTAAAATATAAATGAAGGAAAAAATCAGGACTATTGCAGAAAAAATTACTAAATAGAAAAGAAACAAAAATAAGCTTATTATAAACAACAAAGTAAAAAATCTGCTTGATAAATTTCGTATATAAAAGAGCTCAGATACTTAATCAATGAGTACTTTAAATTCGACCAATTTTAATGAAATGAGCTTGTCTAGGTCACCGACTATAATACAATCATAAAACTCCTCAAAGCTAAAAAGTGCTCTGACAAACTAAAATAACGTATATTAAGTTTAGAAGGCTCAAACGACTTGCAATAGCCCTCTAAAGTTATATCATCACTAAAAATCATTGTTTCATAATCCGACTGAAAATTGTATGTTTGGAACATAGGATTAAGCAGATCCTAGACTATATTAGCCTCCTAGATATAAATTTTCTGATAAAGTAGAGATTAAAGGCTTCAAGTTTAACTTAGTTTAAACTGAGACTGAATCATCAAGGAACTCATTTAGAAAGAGTGTTAAACTATTTCACGATCCCAATAAGCTTTGAGATTTAGGATTTATGATCTTATAACTTTAGCTATAGGAGAAAAGAGAGGTAAATTCAATGTTATTATATCATAAGATGCCGAAATTTCCATTTATTATCAATTATCTAGAGTGCTAATTAAATCATAAACTTAATTTCATATTTCATTATTTCTAAATCTAAGTTTGAGGGGTTTTGGGGTTTTGGGGTTTTGGGG